GAGCAGTGTGGAAGCTGCTGCAACACATAGCACAAACTCAGGCTTCTTTTGCATGGGTGGCAAGGTAAAAACAAATGGCTGAGCCATGGTTTAACTGCCCACCTAAAGCCTACAATACAGTTGGAGGGAGCTGTTCATATGCTGAGGCTGCAATGATTTGTATTGTGGCCACTACAGATTTAACGCATGTCAAGTTGGCAGATGTTATGGCTTTTCAAACTCAGTTGTTCAAGTCAATGGGGCCACATTTCAACCATGAGCCTAACATTTGGCTTGCGGTTGTGACACATTAGTCTCATATAAAACTACCATTCGGTAAAAAAATGGCATTCGGAAGGCTACAGTATCACCAACTGAATGCGTGCTGCTTAGCCACACTCTGAAAAGCGTTCTACTGAATGCTCAGAGAATGAGCAACTGTAAACTCAGGCCCCTTTTCACTGATATGACCACACTATGGGGGGGGATAATAGATACAACTACTGTAGCTATAGATGGTTGCTCTTTGCAGATTGCCATGGCTCCTTCCTTGGCCTTACTATATAACCAGAGTGAAGTACTTACCTCGTATTAGTGGGTCAGTGGTCTTCAAAGTCAGCAGTTTCTTTAGAGCCCTTGTCTGATTCTTCTGTGCATATTTAAGAAGGGGCAGCTCTTGAATCCTATGGGATAAGATTGTGTTACTTGAGTGCACAGGATGCCTTTGGTCACAGAAAACTCATAAGTATAATGAGAAGAAAGGATAGTGTTGGACAATATTTTTATTGGGTTGCAATATTTTAGACATTTTAGTCTCCCAATCTTTGTTTATCCTGGAGTTTAATTACAACTCATGATAAATTATTGTAGCACCCTGATAGGTAGGCTGCTAGATGGTAGGTACATTTTGTTTCTCTTTCGTCTCACTGTAATCAGTGAAATGTCATTTAATTGCTTTGGGCTCTCTTAGGGTTCTCAGGTTGCAGATTTGATCACTCCCTCCTGTTTCTGGATGTTTCCAGAACATAGGGAGGGGAGAGTCAAATAGGCAGTCTAAATATTTATTTAGCACCAGCCAATCCCTGGTAGATATACCCAACAGGTGACCGGGGAAGCCAATAAATAGTGTAGGCTCTAGAACAGTAGGAATTGCACCAGCCTGGGTGTGGGTCAATGCCCCTTCTGTAGGCATTTCTACTGACTCAAGCTGACATTCATTAAGGACCCTGCTGTGGCAGAGCTGGGGGGCCTACTGTTGAGTCACTCCAATACCCCGAGATTTCACCTGGTGGATCCAGTCTGAATGATCCCATTGGAAGGCACCTGGAGGAAGCTAAGAGTGTGCAGCTGCTCCATGACATCATTAGTAACACAAGATCCTATTGGCTGCGTTCTACAGGGATATTCCTGCCAGTGTAGTTCTCTCAGAGGAGCTGCTCCCATAGGGTCCCCATTTCTGGCCTCCCCTTTAGTCTCGATAGGAGAACTGTCTACTGAAGCTTAGCAGAGGGGCTGCTCAGAGAAGCTTAGTTCTGAGAGTAGTGTTCTTTTGCTATTGATTTCTGTAGTCTGGAGTATCCCACACCCTGCACCCCCTGCTACCGTTAAAGAGATCAGCAATTAATCACAAAAAAGTAATTCCCCTTGACTGCCTTCTTGTATCAGTGTGTTTGGAACTGGTGTTCTGGTGAGCTGTCAGTCTTGGCATTAGCAGTAAAGACCCCTTATCATTATTAATAACCGTGTCATAATCACTTTCAATCAGCAGCCCATTTAGGGGTAGTGCTACATGATCTTGATCTGTAAGTTGCAGAAAGTTTTAAATAAAGACTAAAAAATTGTGGTGCATCTAGAGTATTTGACACCCCCAGGCCGATTAGTTTACCAGTCCCGGCTCTGTACAACAAAAGATTTTCAGTCAAAAGAAATAATGTAAGTAACAGAAAAGAAATTCAAACAGTAAAAATTGTAGTATATTCTAACATTGTTGGTCAATGTAAATGTGACCCCTTATATTAGTGGTCCTAGGAAAATTGCTCCCAAGCACTGGCAGGCAAGTGAAAAATTCTGTTGCCTTGGTGGTCAGTGTAGATGTAAACTCTATGTCAGGAATGGACTTGCCAATAGTGGTGGGACTCACCTGCCTTGTGGGCTGCAGTACTAGGGCTGGCCAGCGGGTTCTCTCAACAACCAGAGGCTCACTTCGGCAATTAGCCATCACCTGGGGCTGATTGCAGGTGGTGTATTTAAGGGATGGCCAGACCTACAGTCTGTGCCTTGTTGTACTGTTTGCTTGGCCCTGGTTTCCTGATCCTGTTTCTGCTGTCCTGACGCTGCCTAAACTCTGCCTGTACTGACCTCGGCTAGTCCTGACCACTCTCCCGCCTGCTCCTGGTACTCCGTTTGCTACCGACCCGGCCTGCCTGACTACTCTTGTATCGTATGTTCGTTATCTGTTGGAGGTTTGGTTCAGTTTGTTTGCACTGTGTTATGTTTAGTTTTGCACTGCGTTTGTATTATTAATCTTAATAAATTATATTATTTACTATATCTGAAGCCTGCGTTTCCCTGTGTCAGTCCACACACTTCTGGTCACACCCACATCCCTGACACTCTAGCATTGGTGGTCATTGGAAAATGCCCCTGTTGCCTTAGTGTGGTGAATGTACATGTAATCCCTTACATTGGTGGTCATTAAAAAATGTCTCTGTTGCCTTACTGGTCAATATAGATGTAACTACTTATATTGGTGGCCATTGGAAAATTGCCCATTAACATAGGTGGCCAGTGGATAATTTCCCTGTTGTCTAAGTGGTCATTGTAGATGTGACCCCTTACATTGGTGGCTATTCGAAAATGTTCCCATTGCCTTAGTGGTTAATATAGATGTGTGAAAAATGTCCCGGGTTGCGTTAGTGGTCAACGTAGACATAACCTCTTACATTGGTGGTCTGTGGAAAATGTATCTGTTGCCTTACTGGTTTGTGTAGATGTAACCCCTTACATTGGTGTCAGTGGAAAATTACCTCCCTTGCCTTAGTGTCTAGAAATAGAGGCTACTATGGGAGGGTACCAGATCCAAAATAATTATGAAGTATCAAAAAGTATGCCCCTATGGTATCTGACATATTTTTTATTAATGCCATTTAACATACAGTACTTTGCAAAAGCTCTAGGAAGGTGTGAGAGATGCTGTAAAGTAAGAATGCTTTAAATATATATATTTTATTTTTTTATTTTGATCAATTTACAAATTGCAAAGTGAGCAAACAGAAGAAAAGTCTAAATCAAATCAATATTTGGTGTGACTACCCCTTGGCTTCAAGCCGGCATCAGTTCTTACACTTGCACACTTTGTGCACTTGCACAAACTTAGGGATTTTGTAGGATCACAGTCAGGTGTATGATTAATCAATTATACCAAGCGGGTGCTAATGATCATCAATTTCATGTGTAGGTTGAAACACAGCCATTAACTGAAACAGAAACAGCTGTGTAGGAGGCTTACAACTGGGTGAGGAACAGCCAAAATCTGCTACTAAGGTAAGGTTGTGGAAGACATTTCAAGTCTTTCTGTTCATGACACAGGTCATACACCATGGCAAGGCTAAGCACAGCAACAAGACACAAGGTAATTATAATGCATCCGCAAGGTCTCTTCCAGGCAAAGATTTAAAAGCAGACTGAGGTAAAGATGTGCTGTTCAAGGTTTTTTGAAGAAGCACAAACAAATGGGCAACGTTGAGAACTGTAGATGCAGTGGTTGGCAATGGAACCTTAATGCAGCAGATGACAGACACATCATAATTGCTTCCCTTTGACATCAGAAGATGTTAAGCAGTGCCATCAGCACAGATCTGGGGGAAACCAGTGGAACCTAAGTACACCCACCTACTGTCTGGAGAAACCTGGCCAGAAGTGGTCTTCATTGAAGAATTGCAGTCAAAATGACACAACTATGTATGAACAGGGGTGCAGAAAAATGGCAGCAGGTGCACTGGATTGATTAATCAAAATTTTAAATATTTGGTTGTAGCAGGAGGCAGTGTGTTCGTCGAAAGGATGGAGAGCTGTACAATAATGAGTGTCTGCAGGCAACAGTGAAGCATGGTGGAGGTTCTTTGCAAGTTTGGGGCTGCATTTCTGCAAACGGAGTTGGAGATTTGGTCAGGATCAATGGTGTCCTCAATGCTGAGAAATACAGGCAGATATTTATCCATCATGCCATACCATCACATGTGATTGGCCTAAAAAGCATTCTGTAGCAGGACAATGACCCGAAACATACAGCCAATGTAATTAAGAACTATCTTCAATGTAAAGAAGAACAAGGAGGCCTGTAAGTAACGGTTTGGCCAACACAAAGCCTTGATCTCAACATCATGGAGTCTGGCTGGGTTTACATGAAGAGACAGAAGGATCTGAGGCAGCCAACATTCACTGAAGATCTGTGGTTAGTTCTCCAAGATGTTTGGAATAACCTAGCTGATGAGTTCCTTCAAAAACTGTGTTGTTGATGTTGTTTTGAAGGCAAAGGGGTGGTCACACCAAATATTGGTTTGATTTGGATGTCTCTTCTGTTTACTTGCTTTCCATTTTGTTAATTGATAAAAATAAACTATTAACACTTCTATTTCTGCAAGATACAATCTAAAAGACAAGGTGGCAATATTTGTGCTTGAAAGGTGAAATCAGAGTGATGAAGTTTTAGTTTGACGTTATAGCGAGACACAAACTTGTCTTCTTTGGGACAACAGTAAAGTGAAACAAAACAGCATACCGTATTTTTCGCTCCATAAGACGTACTTTTTTCCCCCCAAAAAAGGGGGGGAAATGTCAGTGCGTCTTATGGAGCGAATATGGAGCGGCCGGTCCGGTATTTCCACCGCCGCGTCAGAATACCGGGCCGGCCGCTCAGCTCTGCTCTTATGGAGATGACTGCTGACCTTTGGGGAGGTGGGGAGCGGGTACCTGAATTTGACAGGTACCCGCTCTTCCGTGGAGTTGTTCATTGACCTTACCTGTTCCTCTATCCAGCGGCGCGCTGTCTTCCCGGCTTCTGTAGTGTGGGCGCTGGACTTGACAGCTAGGTGCCAAGTGCGCATGCGCAAGAAGCGGTGCTTTTTGTGAATGGTAAGGCAGTACCTGGGACACATGACAGATCCCAGAAGCCGCCGGACCAATCACAAAGCGCAAGTGCTTCTCGCTCATGCGCACTGGGCACCCGGCTGTCATGCTGTCATCCCCAAAGGTCAGCAGTCATCTCCTGTACTGTCCGCAGTCTCTGGTCATCCCTGTGCTGTCCCCAGTCTCTGGTCATCCCTGTGCTGTCCGCAGTCTCTGGTCATCCCTGTGCTGTCCCCAGTCTCTGGTCATCCCTGTGCTGTCCGCAGTCTCTGGTCATCCCTGTGCTGTCCGCAGTCTCTGGTCATCCCTGTGCTGTCCGCAGTCTCTGGTCATCCCTGTGCTGTCCCCAGTCTCTGGTCATCCCTGTGCTGTCCCCAGTCTCTGGTCATCCCTGTGCTGTCCGCAGTCTCTGGTCATCCCTGTGCTGTCCGCAGTCTCTGGTCATCCCTGTGCTGTCCGCAGTCTCTGGTCATCCCTGTGCTGTCCGCAGTCTCTGGTCATCTCCTGTACTATGTCTGCAGTCCATTACTTCAGAATTTTTTTTCCTGTTTTCTGCCTCTAAAAATACGGTATATACCCTAAAAGCCAAACAGCACCATTGGTTGCTGTGCCAGCATCCTAGAAGTCAAAGAAGGACCATAAAAATTATGTAGCATCCAGATTGTCAATGGGGCACAGTATAGCAGAGATTGTACAGTTTTTTTTTTTAATGGTTTAAGGAAAGGCAGCAAAAATGGTTGTCTCAGGCAACAATTAACCTAGGCATCCTCCTGATGGTCAGCACGAGAGCCAAGCAATTTTGATTTTTAAAATGAAGAGCAAGATATATATCCTAGAGGTTTTTGCTAATGATGAGGTGGATGAAATCTTATGTTACATTGATTGAATAAAAAAAAAATACCTTTTTAGTTGCCGTAAACTGATCTCCCATGTAGTTTCCTCCTGCTTGGCTTTCCAACATAGGACCATCTTGACTCTCAAGACCTTTAAAATCCTTTTAAGTTTTTAAATAGTTCAATCCCATAGATGCATTGACAATGTGCTCCACCCAACAAAGAGAACTCAGCCACTCCTGGACAAACAGTCCACCTTGGAGACAATGGACACCTTACACACCTCCCCTGTCATCCTGTAGGCTGTGGGAAAAGGTTCCAATTTGAAATGTACAGAGGGCTAATTCCTGGAGACTTCATGAATTAATGTTGGTCTTCTTGGCTCCCAGGCTTTTCTGGATTCCGTTTAATGAAGGTAGATAGCCACCTGCTGGGTTAGAAAGTCAAAACAATTAGTAAAGGCTCAGAAAACACGATAATGTAACCACAATGCAATTTGAAGCAGTAACTAATTAATGGCAACAATGGCAGCCACACTAGACAGAAAGGGAAAGGTACACATGGATGGGGCAATGAACTAAACTATAGAAAGGGAATCCCCGGGACACATCACATTCACGCTGGCCAGCACAAAAAGAACCCCAAAAAAACGAATCTTTTTTTTTCAACAACTTAGGATAAAAACTGTGATTTAGTTGCATACATTTGCAAATACATGTGAAAACCCACACTGCTACATCAAGTCACCTTTGAAAAGGGTGGGGCCTAAACCTGGCCCCACATCAGGTGATTTTCAAAAAGTTTTTGAACTTTTTATAGACTTTATAATGGGTCAACTTGATGGTCATTTTCAACTCTAGTGAAAACTAAGAAGAAAACTTAAAGATGCAGGACTAAAAGTTTTCTTGAACAAACAAAACTCTGTGAACTTGGTTTTCGTTGGGCAAAAATCATACATATCATAATGAAACTTGTTTAACCACTTGCCACCCGCCCGCAATACATGTACTGCAGGCGAGCGGCCAGGTCAGGCAACGTATTGGTATGTCGCGGCCAAACGTCTGTGTTTGAAGTGTGCATGCATGCTCACACCTCTTCCTGAACCGCGCTGTGTCCAAGCTGATCGACTGACATCAGCTGATCGGCTGTGTCCAATCACACACACACACACACACACACACACACACACACACACACACACACGCAGAGTCCTGTGTTTAGAAAACACATAACTCTGTGTACAGCGAACAGTGATCTCGCTGTTTATTCTCCCAGTAAAGCAGGGAGAATAACCAGCCATACAGTAAAAGCATTACACATTGTTTGGCACACAATTAACCCCTTGATTGCCCCTAGATGTTAACCCCTTCCCAGTCAGTGTCATTAGTACAGTGCCAGTGTACAGTATTACCACTGATCACTGTATTAGTGTCACTAGCGATGTCAGTGTCAGTCAGTTGGTGTACCTCCCAGCCAGCATCAGCTAGCGCCAGATTGCCCACCACACTATCACAGTCCCACTATAAGTCACTTATCACCACCATTACTAGTATAGTGTCACAGCTGCGTAAATTCCAGTATATATACACCATAGTTTGTAGATGCTATAACATTCACACAATCCAAATAGTATACACTTATTGGCATTTTTTTTACCAAAGATATGTAGCAGAATACATTTTGGCCCAAATTTATGAAATATTAGATTTTTTGTTTTTGGATGTTTTATAACAGAAAGTAGAAAACATTGTTTTTTTGTTCAGCCTTTTTTAATTTATATAAAAAAATAAAAAACCCAGTGGTGATCAAATATCACCAAAATAAAGCTCCATTTGTGTGAAAAAAAATTATATAAATTTAATTTAGGTACAGTATTGCATGACGGTGCAATTTTAGGTTAAAGAAACGCAGTGCCAAATAGCAAAAAATGCCCTGGTCATGAAGGAGTAGAACCTTCTGGAGCTCAGGTGGTTAATATACCTGGGATTCCATTCAAATAATAGATCTGTATGGAAATGTAAAGGCTGTCAAATTAAATTAGTTGACGTAATAATGACAAAAAAAAAACATTCTGATAAAGATTTCTGTAGGAATGTTCGAACGAAAGTCTAATCATGTCTGGCCAGCTTTACTCTGATCTATCTGATTTCCCAGCTATGGGTGACATACATTATGTAGCAATGCACAAACAGAGAGCAGGCTCACCTACAGGCAGCTCTTTCCACCTTGACCACAAGTCCAGACACTTTCACCCCTCTCCAGTCCAGGCCAATTTTCAGCTTTCAGCGCTGTCACACTTTGAATGACAATTACTCAGTCATGCAACACTGTCATGCAAAGCTGTTTCATGGCCAGGTGTGGGCTACTTCTTCGTTATTTCTTCATCAATTAAGCAGGTAAAAAAGGTCTGGAGTTGACTAAAGTGTGATATTTGCATTTGGAATCTATTGCTGTGAACCTACATCATGCGTTCAAAGGAGCTGTTCACGCAAGTGCAAACCATTCATAAGCCTGAAGAATAGAAAAGGCAGATTAGACTTTGCCAAAAAACATCTAAAAAAGCCAGACCAGTTCTGGAAAAGCATTCTTCCGATGGATGAAACTAAGATTAATCTGTACCAGAATGATGGGAAGAAAAAAGTGTGGAGAAGGCTTGGAACAGCTCATGACCCAAAGCACACAACATCATCTGTAAAACATGGTGGAGGCAGTGTGGTGGCATGGGCATGCATGGCTTCCAGTGGCACTGTGTCATTGGTGTTTATTGATGATGTCACAGAAGCAGCCGGATGAATCCTGCAGTGTTCAGAGAGATACTGTCAGCCCAGATTCAGCCAAATGCAGCAAAGTTGATCGGATGGTGTTTCACAGTACAGATGGACAATGATTCAAAACACACTGCAAAAGCAACCCAGGAGGTTTTGAAGGAAAAGAAGAAGTGGAATATTCTGCAATGGCTGAGTCAATCACCTGATCTCAACCCAATTGAGCATTTCACTTGCTGAAGGCAAAACTAAAGTCAGAAAGATCCACAAACAAAGAACAACTGAAGACAGCTGCAGTTAGAGCCTGGCAAAGCATCAGAAAGGAGGAAACCCAGTCTTTGGTCATGTCCATGGGTTCCAGACTTCAGGCAAAGCATCAGGAAGGAGGAAACCAAGTCTTTGGTCATGTCCATGGGTTGCAGACTTCAGGCAGTCATTGCCAGTAAAAGATTCTCATCAAAATATTAAAAATGAACATTTTATTTGTGATTACATTCAATTATCCAATTACATTTGAACCCCTGAAAATGGAGGGACTTTGTATAAAAATGGTTGCAGCTCCTAAAATTTGTACTCAATATTTATGTTCAACCCCTTGAATTAAAGCTGAAAAGTCTGCACTTCAAATTAATTTGGATTGTTTCATTTTTTAATTTATTCTGGTGGCATACAGAGCCAAAAGTATGAAAATTATGCCTGTGTCCAAATATATATGGACCTAACTGTATATCTCAAATTTATGGGCTATTACCTGATACTTTGCAAATAAACTGTCATATATGATGGAGCAGGATAAGGCCCTCTTGATCAATAAAAAATAAGATCAACCACAGATATTATAAGATCAACCAGAAATATTATCTAGCCTATTTCAGAGGAATCTTGAATGTATCATTGATTGAAGCAAATATTAACCAGATGAAACCTGCCCCCTATTGCCTCTCGAAACTGCACCCAAACCCCTCCCCTTGTTGCTTCAGGGGATATGACCTTCAGGCACCATGTATCATAATTGGTGGGAATTTCCTAAGATCACGGGATCCTGAAATGGGGTTTTAGCTTTCCTGAGACAAGTCATTGCAATATCAAAACAGAAATCTCCTAATATTATTCTACTTAATGAGCCTGTTAAGAATATTCCCCACAATTTAAGGAGGTTGACCTTCTGTATCCTTTTGGCGACTAAGAAAAATATAGTCAAATCATAGAAAAAAAAGCTTCAGTTTCCTTGTCTCAAGCCAAACAAAGACATCTATTGGATAATGACCCATGATAAGTATTCTGAATGACACCAGAAAGCAATAGAAGAAGTTTGGGAGCCATGAGTCCA